GGAGAAGGGTGCAACAATGAATGAATGGAATTCCAAAATCTCTGTAGATGTTCATTGAAATGAAAAATAAACAACCTAAATTAAAAAAAAAAATAGAAACAAAATTACTCACAGCCATGCAAACCAGCAAGAACATGATTAATATTTTAAATATATATTTTTTTAATCAGAAATTTTCCCGTCACAGTGTAACATTAATATCTTCTAGAGGCAAAACAAGGCTTAAAAAAATTATTGTTTTAATATATTTACAACAGGTTTACTGATATATTAAAAGCTATTTAGCCATTTTCTATTCATTTAATATTTAAGTTGTTTCTTTTTTTTTTTTACTTTTATAGATAACTGCAATAATCACTCTTCGACTATAACTCTTGGTCTGTGTCCCTGATCATTCAAAAATTATAATTCTCCAAAGTAAAAAACTCCTAGACCGAAGTGTGCAGATATTTAATTTTATTTAAGGAAAAAATGCCATTGAGTTTAGGACTGGGTAGAACTGCCCCATGGGGCTTCGCCAGGCTATAAATCTAAAACAGTCAATTTGCCACACCTTTCTTGGGCAGAGTCGTGAACTACTGACCCTTTTAGTTAAAAGCCAAGTGCTTTAACCACTGCTCTACCAGGAGTTTTTCAATTTATCATCTACATAAACTTAAATGTACTGTCGGTAAAAGTGTACAAATTTAAACACAATATGAGACTGTCTCACTATTAGCTAATATGCAGCATGAAAAACAATATTTTGCATTCTTATTTGCTTTTTTCTTGGATTATTATAAGAAGTAGCCCTTTTTGCTTTTTCCCGTGGGTTTGTTGTTTTACACTGTAGAGTCGGAATTGACCCTCCCCGCAGGTTTTCTGAGGGAGATTGCCCATCCTCCCATAGAGCAACTGGTGGCTGCAAACCACGTGCCTCCAGGATTGCAGCGCAGCTTCATGCCACTAAGCCACGAGAGACTTCCCTTGGAATTACAGCAGTATATTCCCAGCTTCCATCCAAAAACAGAGTGGACATGGGGACTACAATTATCTGACTCCTCGAACTTCACAAGGAAAAAGAATTAAAAAGAGCAGCACCCCAAAGCTAATTTCTGTGAGGTAAAAACATGATCCTACACTCCACACGCTAAACCTTTTCCACTCCTCCCCGCCCCCCACACCGTCCCAGTACTCACAATCGCTCTCCTGGGTTCAATAGTTCCTTGCAATGGTCACATAGAACTCACAGACAACAGTTCTCGGGTTTATTAAGGAAGGGACAGTTTACAATTTGCGTTCAGGAACGGCACAGGAATCATTTCTTCAATCAGGACAGTCCCTCCGCAGTCAGACTAAAATGGAGGCCTGTCGCTGCTCCTTCCAGCAAGTATTACAAAACTCTTTTAGCTCTGTGAAGGCGGCCTTCTCTCTCTGGCCCTTACACAAGCCAGCTTGGCTTCTTGCCTGTTTGGACAAGTGTTACAAAAGCTCTTTTCGCTCTGCCAACTATGTAATCTGCAAGTAAAAGGAAATCCAAAAGCACTCGGCCCTAGCTCCACGGGTTGGCAAGGTAATCTCCCCAACAAATGACGAAAGGCACCCCCACTGCCAGCAAGCACTCGGCTTTCTTGCTCCCGGGTCCAGGGGTCTGGAGCTCTGTCTGAGATGGTTTCTGCCATCAGGCAGCAGATCACTCCTCACTACCATCTTTGCCTCCTGCTATTTTCTGGTCATCTCTTAAGTCTTGCACTTTCAGATCTCTCTATTGATGGTACAGTTCTCAGCCCCAAAAGGTGGCCTGCACACTCTGGCTCTTAATACTTTGTTGTTGTTTTTTTTCTCTCTTTATTCCTAATAGAAATAAGATTCTTATTTTGCACCTCAAGGACAGCTTGATTTAAATGCACCAGGATGTCAAACTGGCCAATGTCCCTATGTTAGCATTCTACCCATTTTATTTGCATGATCCCAACAAAAGGTGGCCTTTATCTTTCTGACTTTATTAAAAATCTCTCCAATTCCCTTAGCAGGCCACAAACACTTCAGGTTTGCATAACCCTACTCAGCCATGTAGAGAAATCTTTTGACAGAGAAGCCTGTTGGGATTTATACTGCTAATCCAAATATGACTCCAATCCATTTAGAGCCTTGCAAACACAACAAAGGGTCAGCTAAAAGTCAGTTCAGACTCTATCACAATGAGTTTGAGTTTGACCCAGTCATGTGGTGAAAGCATAGCTTAAAAAGGCCACAAGATCAAAACAACTATGAGGTATCATCTCACCCCAGTAAAAATAGCAAAATTTAAGAGAACAGCAAAGAACAAATGCTGGCGAGGTAGTGGAGAAACTGGAAACCTTATTCACTGTTGGTGGGAGTATAAAATGGTGCAGCCACTGTGGAAGGCAGTGTGGCACTTTCTCAAAAAGTTGCAAATAGAGATACCATTTGACCCAGCAATTCCACTAGTGGGGATATACCCCAAAGAGACCATAACTGTCACCCAAGCAGTTATATGCCCACCCATGTTTATCATGGCTTTGTTCACAATAGCAAAGAGTTGGAAACAACCTAAGTGCCCATCATCAACAAACGAATGGATAGAGAAGCTGTGGTATAGTCACACAATGGAATACTACGCTGCATTGAAAAACAAGGAACTCATGCAGTATTATTCAAAATGGGTGAGTGACCCTAGAGGACATTATTTTGAGTGAAGTATCTCAGTCACAAAAAGACAAATACTGTATAGTGCCACTGCTGTAGAACAAAACTGACATTGGGTTTGGGGGAAGACTGAGAAAGATGGGATAAATAATGTATACTGCATTGAAACAAATGAAGGAAGGAACTGTTTAAAAGGGATATGTGATTAGGTATTATTGTCATGACAGGAGTCCAGAATGAACGCTGCATAATGGAGTGGACCTGGGGGGAGAGATTGTAAAACAATGAAAGAATTTTTCTTTTACTTTTCAAAGAGAAGAGTGAACTGAGGGGGTGGGGGAGGCAGGGAGAAAAGTGCAACAATGAATGAATGCAAATCCAAAGTGTCTGTAAATGTTCATTAAAATGAATAATAATAATTTTAAAAATTTTTAAAAAAGAATTAAAAATTAAGATTTAACAGGTTGTTGTTTTTTTAAAAAAAAAGGCCACAAGAAATTCACTGCAACACACCCTACAATAAGGCCTCACATACGATTGATATTAAATTAGTTCATTAAGAAAATAGATAGTATGCTGAATAAACTAAAGCTGGACTTTCACACATTGCCTAAAAAGGGAGGATTGGTGGCCTAGAGGTAAGGAGTTGCACTGC